TACCGGGGATTGAACTTAGGACCTTGCACTTGCAAGGCAGTCATGGTGCCACTGAGCTAAATCCCCAGCCCTAATACATATATTTTAAAGAAAGATTGCATTGCTTTTGTAAATAGTATGAAGCTCTTTTAAAATGTTGAAATATTGGCCATTTGATTGAAATTTCTTGACTGTCTGACAAAGTGATTGATTGAATAACAGAATTGATATTGTTCTCTGATCTTGCTGTAATACTTTTTTAATTCCTTGCTACATTCTTAATTATAATATTCTATATTTGATTTCTTTAAAAATTCATTTGGCCCTTAACTCTCTTTCCAATTCTGTTAATAGGAGGGAGGGAGAGATGGATAGACAAACACACATATAGGCGTAATATATTTGTGTGACATGGATAGACTTAACATTGATTGCAAATTGCTAAAATTTCTCTGTTGAATTTTAGGGGCAAATCATTTCTGTATTTGTTATTTAGAACATGACTCAGCACAAGTTCTGGAGTAAGGGTGCTTGGGTGCATGATCCTGGCTCAACCATTAATTGTGTGACATTAGACGAGGCACCTGAGCTCTCTGCATGTGAGTATCTCCATCTACAGCACAGGGACAATGATGGCACCACCCCAGTGCACCAGCATATGTAAAGTGCTTAGTGGGACTTGACACTCAGTAAATGTGGTATAAAAGTTCACTATTATTGCTCAGATGTACATATATTTAGTTCTACTTTTAGAACAGTAGAACCTCAGCACCCCCAGAGGGGTGTGGAGTGGCATAGGAGCCACAGTGACCATGGTGAAGATTTAGTAGAGCACCTGTAGAAAATGAGAGAAGTAGCTTATAAACTGAGAGATAAGTACAGTGTGCCCTCCTGGTTTGCAGAGGTCTGTGCTTTTATCCAGCCATGCTGAAAAACCTAGGTATAGGAATAGGAAAGGAGGATATTTAAGGTGCACTTTAGAGGACAAGAACTGGCAAACTACAGCATCTGGGCCAAATCTGGTCACTGCCAGGGTTGGTAAAGAGAGTTTTATTGGAATACAGCCTAGATAATTTGTTTGCATATTGTCTACAAAAGTAGAGTTGAAGATAATAGTTGTAAAAGACTGTACAGTGTGCAGAGCCTGAAATATCTACTCTCTGGTCCTTCACAGGAAGGTGCTGTCCACTGGATTACTAGTTAGTAGATGAGGCAGACTTCAGGGCAGCACAGAGTGGCAAGCAAGTGGTTAAGTGACAGGTAATGGGGATCGAGGCTGGACGAGAAAGGATGCAGTGCCAAGTGGGCATTGATAGCAGGAGAGAAAGGACAGCTGGAGCTGTTGCCTCAGCAAGGCCCAAGGGTACATGAATTAAAGGGAATGGGAGGGCTGAAAGTGAGTGAGAAGGAAAATAATCTTGGAAAAGATTTCGGAGCAGGGCAGTTCTGAATGCTGGCTTGTGCTGGGTGGCTGAAGAATTCCAGAAATGAAGAGGCTAGAATGGGTGGCTAGTGTCCATGGACTGTCACTCAGGATGATGGAGAATAGAGAAGATAATGTCCATTTTCTGGGTTTCTTTTAAGAAGTATTTGTTTATATGAAGGGTCCAGGTCTGACATCATTCTCTCTTTGGGGGTAATGACCTGGGAAAATTATGAAATACTTGCATGCTTGTATTTTAGAGAATCTCAAATAAAAAGGAGGCCGCCACCTAGGCACTGTAACATTTTTACTGAATGCGAGGGACAGACTTGCTGGGACAACCTCATTTGAC